CCCCGTCCCGTCTCCCCGCCCGGGCGCCCGTGACCCCGGGGCGGGGGGGGGGGGGAGGCTGAGCCGGGCGGGTTGCACGTGGTGGTTAAACTCCCTGTCTCCTCTCGCGCCACAGAGCGACGATTCGGACATCTGGGATGACACCGCCCTGATAAAGGCGTACGACAGAGCGGTGGCCTCGTTTAAGGTACTGGGCTCTCCCGCGCCCCTCCTCTCCCACCCAAAGCTGCTTCTCTTTGCTCTGCATGGCCCAGATCCAGCGCGGGCGGGGAGCTTCGTGCGGGATCGGGACCAAAGGTGCCTCTGCAGCCACAGAGCGACGATTCGGACATCTGGGATGACACCGCCCTGATAAAGGCGTACGACAGAGCGGTGGCCTCGTTTAAGGTACTGGGCTCTCCCGCGCCCCTCCTCTCCCACCCAAAGCTGCTTCTCTTTGCTCTGCATGGCCCAGATCCAGCGCGGGCGGGGAGCTTCGTGCGGGATCGGGACCAAAGGTGCCTCTGCAGTTCCAACGAAGCTTTGAATTGCTGGACTGAGAGGGGCACAACTATCCTTGACGGCCTCCGAAGGTGGGCGCTGATACTCTTCAAACTGGGAATTATTGTTCCTGCAGCTTTTTTCTTTTTTAATGGGGGGAAGATTTCTTCCCATCCCTTTGTTACAGGCCTGAACTATGCTTAAAATTTAGATCAGCATAATTACATTGCTCAGATTATAAAAAACAAACATTTTTGGCACTATACCTATACCAGCCTAATTTCTGGCACTATGGGAAGAATATCTCTGTTGATAAACTACCTCCACTTGAGGAAGTTGATAATCCACAGCAATGGGAAAAACTTTCCCATTTGTTGTAGGAAGTGGTCTTCAGGACAGAACGGCAGTGCCACAGATACACCAGCATAGCTGTGCTGCTGAAGCACCCATTGTGCAGAGAAGTCCATCTGGGTCAGCATATTGTGTCAAAAGTATCATAGACATGCAAGTGCAAATATCATGCAAGTGCAAATATCATATTCTGGCTTTTCACTTATCTAAATTGAGTTAACCTTTTTGCAGTAATATGAAATGTAGACAAAATAAATATGAGGACAAGAGAAATTTGGTATGTCCAGCCCCCGGTTAGCTCTCTCTGATTGCTATTGTGATATAGGTGGATAGAAGTTTGAAATGTTGGGGTACAATTCATTGAATCTTTGTCTTCTTTTGTAGAATGCTCTAAAGAATGGTGAGTGTTCAGAGCCTTCTGACAAAGACCAATGCTCAGGGACAAAGAGAAAAAATAGTAAAAAGAACAGAAGCAGGAAGAAAAGCAACGCAGCACCCTTGAAACAGGTGACAATAAAAACTGCAAAAGTGCTAATGTTTTTGCATTGCACGTATTCATAGTTTTAAAGCATACGGTTTATTTGCTCATCAAGGGAAGATTTTAGTTATTGACCTCAATGGGACTGTAAATAAGATACAAATTCTTGCTTTGCTGGGTCCAAGCTGAGAAACAGATTAATTGGATACTAAGAAAAATCTGTAGGATGAAAAGGCACATCCTGTGGTATGTAGTTCAAAAGTTAGTACACATAATATATGGATATGTTAGCATATAGATGTTTTAAACACTTGAGGATGAGACGTTGCATTGGTGGAAAGTACATTTTAGAGGTCAGATACAGCTGTCCACTTAACATTTCTTACTTCTGTTGCAGTGGAGAGTTGGTGATGCCTGTAATGCAGTTTGGTCTGAGGATGGCAATGTATACCTAGCAACTATTGCCTCAGTCAATCAGAAGAGGGGGACCTGCGTTGTTGTTTACACTGGGTATGGAAATAGGGAGGAGCACAATCTATGTGATCTGCTTCTTCCAAACACCATTGAAAAAGAAAATGAGGAGCAGAATGCTGGGGAGGTGAGAGGGCAAATATAAACAATATTCTATGGAAAATAAGCAAAAACTAGTAACTTTTGTTATATTCCTTTCGTAGAACTGTAGGAACAATAGCATATGTGAACCAAAAGTCATCCTTGATATAAGTAGTCATGAGTCTGTGGAAAGCACTGCTTGTTTGGTTGTGTGGCTCCGTGGATAGGGTGCTAGATTGAGACTCTGGAAACATAACATCATTTCCCAGCTCTGCCACTGCTTTGCTGGATGACCTTGGTCTAGTGACTTCCTTTCCTGGACTTAGTTTTCCCATCTGTAAAATGGGGATGATAAAGTAAAGTACTGAGAGAGCTTTTGATGAAAAGTATTTTAGAGGAGGTAAGTGGTACTATTATTACTATTACCATACCAGGACTATATATGGCAGAGGTGGGAAACCTGGGGCTGTATGTGGCCCCTGGCTTGCTTGGATACGGCCCCAGAGGCTCAGTGCTTTCCCCATCCCACAGGTATTGGGAAGCCTGTGCTGGTGCTCAAGCCCCCCTGCTGCCCCACGGCAGGGCTGGAGCACACAAAATCTACTAGTCTGCTTCCCCCTTACCCCCGAAGGCTCTGGTGTGCAAGGGGAATGTGGGAAGCATCTTTCTCCTTCTCAGTCAGGGGCCACTTTGTGGTGTGGGGGCATTTTTTGTTTTTTGTGTGTGTGTGTTTGCTTCTCACTTGTGTGTGGCCCCTAACTGACTTTTCTGTGGGTCAGTGGCCCCTCCCCCTCCGACCCAAAAAAGGTTCCTCACCCTTGGCATATGGTCTTGTGACTTTCACACAATTCTAACTCTCACATGCAGCATTATTGCAAAACGCTGCTTCTCCTGATTCACGTAATAATTTTTTAATGAAAGGAGATGCTGTCTTTCTCAGGCACATACCAATCTGTTTCAATTTCCAGTCAGCACTGCTGGACATCAGGAAACTTTGCTAATGGTGTAATAGACATGGCAGGTCTGAAAATAGTTGTCTTTTCCCCTGTATACTGCAAACTTTTGACCCTTTCTTACAGAAAAACATAGATAATCTACTGTTTTTGCTGATGCTTAGTATTCAGTGTGGATTTCATGTGAGATTAGACACATTTTGTGTGTGCGTATGTGCTAAGAAATAGCCCTGGCATTAAAATGTTTAAAGTCACTTTCAAAAGTATAGATAATCAAAATCCATGTTCCTGATATGTATAGAAGACTAGAAAAAGAGGGTAGAGTGGGAGAACTGGAGGACTGGGTTGTCAAGGCTGACAACTAGTGGCAGTGCTAGTAATAAGGGAGCAGTGCAAAAAAGAATGAGCAAATAAGGGGAGGAGCAGAACTATAAGTGCCTTGGATGTGAGGTCAAGAAGATTGAACTTTATGTGATAGAAAGGGAAGAGACAGTGAAGGTTTAAAGAGAAGGGATTACAGGCTCAAAGTGAAAGACAAGGAGGTATATTTTGAATTAGCAAGGGGCAGAGTTAAGAAATCAGAGTGGAGGAGGATGCAGAAATCAAGATGGAAGATGAGGATGTGGATAAGCCATTCCTAGTGAAAGATTTCACATTGCATTTGCAGTAAACAGATGGGAGATATTACTTGGGAACAAGTCTGCCAGAGTTTAAATTAAAAATAAAATTTTCCTTCTAGAATGAAAATGAGACTCCTTATTCAACAGATGAAAGTGAAAAGTCCTCCCAGTCACCTGGAAACAAATACAACTCTACAAACTTAAAATCCTCTAATTGGAATGCTCATTTTCTGCCACCTCCACCACCAGGTCTGCAAAGGGTAAGCACACTGTCATTAATTGTGATACTGATCTGAAGCAGAGCAGGATCTTCAGAGATGACTTATTTCCCAACTCCTGAGAAAATAACTTATTTCCCACTCTTCTTGTAGACGTTAAATTCCAACACTTGTATGATGTTAAACTTTCAAGTAAGGATGTTAAAATGCAGTTAATTGACTAATAGATGGAATTTCCATTGACTAGTCAGTAGGCACTTCCACATACCTCCTTTGAAATGTACAAGAGCCTCTGCTGGGGCCAGCGGGAAGTTGGGCTGACTCCAGGCTGTACACATTGTGCCTGCTTTGAAATGCACAAAAGTCCCCAGCGGAGGCTCTTGTGCATTTCAAACCCATGGAACCCAGGGTCAGCAGGGGACACTAAGTTCTCCTCTGACCCCAGGCTCCAAGCTACAGTGCATGCTGCTAGGGGAGTCTCCAGCTGATCCCAGGCTCAACGGCTGCCCCTTTGAAAGGTGCACAGGCCACATTTTAAAGGGGCAGCTGCCGCACAGCTGATCTGCAGCTGCCCCTTCGAAGTATTTCTCTCTTCCCCCTCCCCCTTTGCTGCCTCTATCTCAGAAGCAGCAAAGGGGGGGAGGATATCGACTAGTCAAAATACTATCAGATATATAAAAAAAAGTTGATTATATAATCTCCTAACTTTCAAGACAAACCTTGAACCTTAATGTATATCCCTGTAGTAAACCATAGGCATGAAATCCAGACATACTGATAGTTGGATTTTTTTTTCATTGACTTCTTTGGGGCTAAGTTGTCACCCTATGTATTTACAATCCCAAATAGATGGGATATGATGCAGCAATTGAAACAAAAATAATTGACTTTATTTTCGGACCATTACAAGAGAATCCCATAAGTGGCAAACCAGTATAAACTAAGAGCAGAGCCTGTAATTTTGTCTTTAAATATGAGCATAGACACAGTAGGGTACATTTATCTAAATCATTGGTTTAAATCACAATATTCAGAGTCATAAAAAAATACTTGTTTTAAATCAAATTTCCCACTGATACCACTTCACATTTCTGAATCAATTGTGCAAATTTGATTACTAAAACATGTTAATTTACAACCAAGTACAGCATTTTACAACTTCTAAGAGGGGTATACTTTGTGTATTTTTTGATAACTTGATTTTTTTATTAGTTTAGGAAATAAGTACATAATATTTAGTACCTGTGTCAACCTGCAGATTCAGCAGTAGTATATTAGGAAGGGTAAGAATTAAATCACACACACACACTTAATAGCACTTATGATTTAGTTTAATAAAATAAATGTTACTTAAATATTTCACATTTGCGATTTGCAGCAGTCTCCTGAGTTGCTGGCTGATGGCGGTCCTTAAACACTTTTTAAAAATTTTCAAGTTTTATTAACTCTAACAGACAAGTCGTTACAACTAGGGATGTCACAGTGTAAACAAATAAATAGTTAACCGATGAGCCTGGGCAGGAAGGCAGCTTAAAAGCCAGCTCCCCTCATGCACAGATTCCCATGGAGCCACTCTCTCCCTCCCCAGCATGTTAATGTGTCCATTGAAAATTTCAGCAGGTACACAGTTATCAGAATAAAGTAATTTAATAAACACAGTCACTGTTTTTTGCTAGGCTTGCTGATGCTCACACATCAGAGAATACTGGCAAAAATCATTTATAGTTAGCCATATTCCTATACTGTTGATGAATTAAGTCATTGGGACTTTCTATCCTTTGCTTAAGTAATTTTGTGATCTGTTGCAACATAATTTAAGGCAGAAATTTCAAAATTTTGTTTCATATTCAATTATTTCACTGTAGTCCGGATCAAAATTCAGTGGACCACCACCCTTCTTATCAAGCTGCCCCCCACCATTTCCAACAGGGCCACCGGTAAGTGGTGTGTGAAAAATAGACTTAAGAGCAAATATTTGTGTTCACTTTTTTTAAAGCACATGTACCTGCTTATAAATTGAAATGAATACCTATTGACTACTATGTATGTGCCCTGTTCCAGTTAATGTTCCAATTATAAATTCCTTTGCAGCTTTTGGTGAATGTATTCAGGCTCACAAGAAGTAAATTTCTATTATGGATCTATTAACAAGGATCTATGGAGTAAAAATCTGTTTTTATATGGAGTTTTTGTACTGGTGTAACTATTTCAGTTAGGTGTCTGACTTTTTTTTTTTTTTTTTTAACTGAAATCCTTATACTGATGTTGTAGAATAAATATAAAATTAGCATAAGTTTGATTTAGAAAATGTGTGTACAGAGCAGCCCTGATTAGCAAGTAAAAGGAAGGCATTTGAAAATAAGTGGTAAGGCCAGAAATATAGTATTCCCCTCCCCCGGAGTGCTGCCCTTGGTACACTGGGTAGATTTCCAATCACTATGGTGGCTGCTGCAGGGAATGTCAGAAGAAAGTTTTCGTTGTTGGTGGCTGCCTACGAACGATACGAAGCAGGAGGCATCAGGCCCAACCAACAGACTTCTCCTGGAGCCAAGCTGACTCTGCTGGGCCAATGGAGCCTCTGCTCCTCAGGAGAGCGTGACAGACAGCATCCCGATGCATAGCAGTCTGCAAAGACCCTGAGCAGAACAGATCCTTCCCCCCCACCATTGGCCAGGCGGCTGGAGACCCCTGGGAGATTGCTCACTCAGACTTCCAGTAGCCATACCCTGTGAGCGACACCCCCTCTGCCCTCCAAAGACAGCTGGTCTGACTGGGACATCCACTCCCCAGTCTTCCGAAGGGTGACCCCTCCATGAGCTCCAGCAAACCCTTACTCTGTCATCTTCTCTCCGAGTTGAAGAGGCCTTCAGTTTGTCCCTGGAAAACTCTTCCTGTTAATTTCTGCCTGAGTGGAGAAGAGTTTGCAGCACCCTATCTGCACCCTTTTTCAAATTCCTTATTTGAGTGGCTGCTTGAAACTCTTAACCTCAGGTCACTTTTACCCATTAGGGGAAGAGAACAGTGTTTAGCTTTCCTACCCCTAGTCAGGGTCCACCCACTCTTCATTATCTTGATGTGTGAAGATGATGAATGTGGACTGTCAAATGGATCTTACTGTCTTTTGCGGAGCGAAGACTTGATACAACTCCAACTCTTCATCTGGGCTGTGAAACTGGACACCAAGCCTTCTTTTTTCCTGGGCTCCAGCCCCCTAATCTTTTGCTTTTATGCTTCATTGGTCAAAATTTTGGTAAGTGGTTTTTATGGAAGAAGGAAAAAAAGAAGGCAGTCTGAATCCCAAATATAAGTATTTGTGTGTGACTCATCTACTTTGGGATGTCTTTAAATCCATGTTCAGAGAGTCTTGCTTCTCTGTCTGTAAAATCAGGTGTTTGTTCCTGTTTTCCCTGATGAGCGTGGATTGAAAGTTGCACCTTCTAGGTTTTTTTTTTTCTGAGGTGCTGCTGATCCTGTTAAAGGATGTTATGGATTTTTTTCCTTGGATTATTGCCAGGGTCAGTTTACACAGTGCAACGAGTTGTTAGGCCTCTCATGTACAGGTAACATTTGTCCTGCTGTAAGGTAAAATTGCTGGGGAAATTTGGGTTAAAAATTGTGGAAGGCAGTCTGGATTAGGGAGAGTTTCTGTTCATTGCTGCTTGACCTGGCATCCCCAATCTTTCCTTAATGACTTCAGCCTTGGCCATCTTCAGATGCTGCCCAAACTTTCATCAGTTTCAGGAGCATGTCTACATGTCAAAATTGGCCATTCCATGGCTCGCTGCTAGCCAGCTCAAAATAATACCAAGCACCTTTAACTGTTAGGTGCTGTCCAGGAACCATGCCCTTGTCTGGCCTACCCACAAGACAGTTAAGTTCTATCTTCAAGACGCTAAGAGTAATGGTACCTGCATAAACAGTCAGAGATTGAGTAAATGATCTGAGGAAAGCCCACCATGTGAAATTCTGTCTGGTGACATTATCCAGTCTGGTGTAGATGTGACAGAGAACACACAAAGTTATCCATGGACTGTATGGTCTCCACACTAAAACTATTTCTCCCAGATGGTATGGAAGCTCAGTTACAGTTAGATGTCATCCATGCTCCATTACCAAATCCTGTTCACAAAGTTGCTGCTAACACTCCCAGTATGAGTCTGTCTGGTTCAATGAATAACTAATGAAGTTTCTAAAAAGAAGGCCCCTGACTGCAGAGGGATGACTGCCGATAGTTTTAAATCAAACAAAGAGAATCTGTCTTAAAATGTGCCAACATAGGCCTTCTCAATCCGTACACCAATGTTTAAGCCCATGTGAACCCTGATGAAGTGGGAAGTCTGTTAGACAGCAAGGAGAAGAGGCCAAAAACCTTTTGGAAGGAAAGATGATAAATCTTATTTGAATTAAGACCAGAAATAAGGGTAAATTAATCTCAAATTGATCTTTATCTGATGTTTGGAATTGGCAGTGACATCACTTGTTTGTTAAAAGGGTATAAAAATAAGTAAACTCATTTAAGAATTCATTGCTAAAACCTGCCTGACCTTGTAAATGACCAACAAATAAGGTTCTGAGCACTCCTTGGAGTTAATCCATTTGGAGGTATCTTGATCTAATACTTAAAACGTTTGGTTGTTCTTATGTAATAAAATCAACCAAATTGCTTATTAGTTAGGCTTTTTAGGTAACATTTGTCCTGCTGTAATGTAAAATTGCTGGGGAGAACAGCTCCATTTTAGAACAGCTCCATTAAATATATTTGGCCCATGTATTTAATAAAGGAATTTATGGTTTGTTTAGTGTTTTCCCATTATTATTCCAAATATTATTATTTTCAACAGATATTAAGTTCCCTTTATACTGACCTCTTATTTCCCTTCCCTTATTGGAACAATAACTAATATAACTGCATTTACATTAGTGGATTTGTAGTGCTTTCATATCATCAATATAGTCAGAGTTTTGTATATAGGAAAGCCCTATCTGTGTCAAATTTTGAAAGGATATACTGATCATAGGAGCTGAATACAGAGCAGTGGTACATGTGCCTTTGTAAATAAGGTGTTTAAACCTTATTTTTAGTTACCTTATTGTGAAGTGTGTGCAAGAATGTGTTTCATTTGTTAATAACTTCAGAGTTGGTTGTTGTCGTTGATTTCTGCACCTGTCAGATAAATAACATAAATTAAATAAAGCCAGTTCAGAGTGTGGGTTTTTTTTTTTTCAATCTCCTAGCTGATTCCTCCTCCACCACCACCCATGGGTCCAGACTCTCCTGAAGATGAGGATGCTTTGGGAAGTATGTTAATAGCTTGGTATATGAGTGGCTATCACACTGGCTACTATCTGGTAGGTGACAAGTGACTTGTTGAAATGTTGCATATGTAATATAGTTTTGAGTTGTGGTGTTGCTTAAGTCAGTGATTTTCCCCCCCTCGCCCCCCCGAGCTTTTACTTTACAAGAACCTAGCTTTAAAGGCTGAAGTGTACCAGTTTTTCTGCAAACAGAAGCAAATCAATCCACTTGAATAATGTATACGCTATGTTTATATTTGTACATTTAAATATACTGAAAAATAATTTGAGAAACAGTTTCAACTTTCCAGTTTAGTGGAATATTCCCGTATGCAGTTTGTCATAACTGAAGAACAGATTGTATGGTTCAAGTAAATTTGGACTTGTTAAATATTCTTTGGTTTGATAAAGATTAGAAAAGAAGAAGAACTGCTTGATATTGGTGAGGAGTAAGGTAGAGCAACTCTGTTCTTAACCTGCCTTCCCCCATCAACATACTTCATTGCTGACTGGTGGAAAGTTGGGCATTGTGGTACATGGATAACTCATGCAGAAGCTCCACACTGATGAGAGAACCTGTATTTTTGCATAACTGTAAAGGAAGAAAAGAATTTGGAAAAGTTAACTTTTCAGACCTTGATAATCACATTTGTTTTTTGATATAACATTTAAATGTGGACTGAAAATTAAACAGAATTTACCTTCAGTTAAATAGCAAAAATTTCTCAAGCTGTTCTGTAGGGATACATATCAAGACAAAAGCAAATACAGGCCATCCTTGCTAGAAGTCTAAAATACGTTCAAAAAAACTTGGACTTAGTGAAACAGTTTAAACGAGGAAAAAATTTCCTGGGACTTCCATTTGTGTGCAGGGTGTTTTTTGTGTGGTGTGGAGGTGGTGGTGTGGTTTTTTTTGTTACTGCGCAACTTAAGAGTGAGGAATAGGAAGACTTATAACACATCAGTTCCTACAAGCATCAACAACTGTAATGTGGAACGAATGTGTACTGGGGCAACTTATAGCAGGGATGCCCTGTAATTAAGTTTTAGTTCCTAATTGCAGTATAATATGTTGGCTGTTTGTCTTCAGTCTGTTATCCATATAAAATCTACTTAGAGACGAGAATATTTGGTCCAAAATATTTTACCATAATGAGCAAAGACAAAATAAAATAAATGAAGCTTTAAACTTGAACAACAAACTCTTGCTCTATCCGTGTCCCATAGGGTTTAAAACAGAGCCGAATGGAAGCTGCCTTGGAGAGATGTCCCCACCCTAAATAAATATCATTTACTACCTTGAGCAATTGTAAGTATTATATTTATCTAAAATGTTTAATTATGCAGTCAGTAGATAGTCAGTGCCCAAACTGAGAAACCTAGTGTGGAATTGCAGCGTATATCCTAGGTTCCTGGGGAGAGTCCCTTTTAAACAAAAAGGGCAATTTTAGATGCCAAGACTTCTCATCATCTTCACCATCAATGAAGAAAATCGCTGCCACTGTTGAAACATAGCAAGTGACTTGCCACCAGGCAGAGTGTTTGAGAGCTGAAATAGGCTTTTACTGTATTTTCCAGTAAGGATTTGTGATAAATCAATGTGACTGGTCTAACTAAAAATTAATTTGCTTTTATGAGAAATGTATGCTATGTTGTTGACTTCCACTATGTTATATGTGCTGTCTTAATGTGAACTAGATAGCTAACTTAATCAGTCCTGGAAACAAGACCTATTAATGAAGTTTGTGATCAAAACTGACTTGTTTCACTTCATGCATTTTTAGAAACAGCTGCTTGCTTATACATGTAGAGTAGTAGAGAGCATTCTTGAGTTTGGATTTCAAAACAGGACTAACATCTAGCTCAGTTCTTTAGATTTTCTGTACTGTTGAGGGTTTTTTATTCTCTTCTCTTGCGCAAGAAGCTGCCACTGTAGACATAGCCTAAGAACACCTTGCACAAGGGTTCTTGTGCAAGAAGTCCTGCGCAAGAAAATGTCCACACTGCCATGTGCAAGATGTGCTTTTGCGCAAGAGCATCTATGTCAGTGTGGACACTCTCTTGCACAAGAAAGCTCTGATGGCCATTTTAGCCTGTACAAAAGGGTTTACACCTGTTAGAAAAGAGTGTAGCCCTTGCGCAAGAAGCCCTCTCTTACCACGCTGTTTTGTAAGTCGTCTTGTGCAAGAGCCAGTGGGCAGAGTGGACGCTCTGCAGATTCTTGCGCAAGAATGGCTGTGCTTGCTCAAGAAGCCGCGAGTCTAGACATAGCCTTAGTGAGTGTTTTCACTTTGGTTTCAAATAACTTCTGCATAGGGATCTCTGAACTATTATTCACTTAAGTACACTACAAAAACTTATTCTGCCATATATTCCTATTTATTTGTTTCTCTGACAACTTGTCTGTAAGTACAATTTTAGTGACTTGCAGGTTGATAGTCTTGTTTAAAAAAATTGTGCATATCTATACAACAATTATTTTTCTTTCAAAGCTAGGTACAAATATCCCTCTCTGGGAGAGATGTCACTGTGCACTGGTTGATAATGAAGATCTGATTTTTAAAAAAATCACGAAGATTACCTGAGCCTGATATCTAAGACTCCTTACATTTTAATAGGGACTTCCCTGACTGAATTAGTGTTAACACCAGACTTCAACCAGCAAGATATATATTTTAAAAGCACTGCAGCAATAAAGTGCCACCTGCCCCACTTAAATTGTTTAAAGCTAATGTTTAAGGGATTTTAAAAGTACTGTTCCTTTAGAAATAAGTGAGACTTGCTGATCTTTCTGCATTGTTGAATGTATCTTGCATTTTAAAATTCTCAATGTAAATTATAGTACAGAACTGAAGTACAAAAAACCTTACCAAGATACGAATTGGCAGTGACGTATGTAGTTGACTTGGGGGGGGGTAATGACATGTAGAAAATGTTACACATTCAATATCCTATCTTATGAGTAGGATAAGAACCTTGAACATAAAGCAGATGAGAGAGGGAAGGCTCATTTGTAGGTTATGTTTATTTTGCATGTTTGTAAATAAAATTACTCGAACTTTGAATTTGTATTTTTAAATGACCATTACATAAGTTGTATGCACACAGCCTAGCCAAAGTATTAAATCATAGTAGCCCACTGTGCCCTACTCCATTCTGCTAGCGCTTCCTTGTTCCTTCTCCTTTAAGAGTGCACCTTCATCTCTCTACTGGCTTGGTGCACTCTCTTCTGGTGCCATAGTAGCACCTGTGGATGAGAAATGTAACTGCAGCAGAATACAAGGATTCTGCTTGCACACTTGTGGCCACACAGTAAAGATACAGATACCACCCAGCTGATTAGTAGAGTGCCCCCCAGCTAGGGTCTTTTGTTTCTACAGGTGGTACACATTTGAATATGCCTTGGTGCACATAACATTTATTCTACACCCAGATGGGAAAAATTAGAGGGAACAGTGGTAGATTGCAGAATTCACAAGGAAAGCATATACATGCCTTTATTTACATGGTGTTGAAGACCTACTAAAATTACAGAAATGTTTGAAGTGTCATTAGTAATGGTGAGTAGCAACCTCTGCTCCAACTTTGATTTGGGCAAATGGACCTTTGATTTGCAAAGAGAATTCACTGAAACTTATTCTCATGCTGCCAGGAAGAAAAATAAGATCCTCTCAAATTATAAAGTTGCAGTGTGCACACAAATGAATAGCACTAAAAATTGGTGTACACTGCAGCAAAAAGAGTCAGCCTCATTCTGCAATGTATTGATAGTGTCAAATGTAAAATGAGTGAGACATTTACCCTTCTGCATGACACTAGAAAGGCCACAGCTAGAATGTCTCACTCAATTTTAGGCACTACAGTTAAAGATATGAATAAATGAGAGAATCCAGAAAATAAATAACTCAAGTGTAGAAAACATGATTTATGAGAAAAGGTTGAAAGCAGTAGGGCTATAGCTACGCTGCAGGCTTCTTGCCCAAGAACTATTTTGTGCAAGAGTGCATCTGTACTGCCATGTGCTTTTACACAAGAGTGGTGCTTTTGCACAAGAAATCCACATTGCCCGTCCACTGCCTTCTTGCGCAAGAGTTCTTGGGCAAAAAGGCTTATTCCTTGTGGGGAGAGGAATGACTCTTCCTCAAGAAGCCCTCTTTTCTGAAGCTACACCGTAAATTACTTGCACAAGAACATGCATGCAGCATAGACACTCTGCAAGTTTTTGCACAAGAACAGGAGGCAGATAAACCTGGACCTCCCCCAGCTGTGTCTATTAGAGCTGCAGCAGCCATGAAGTGCTTCTCACCTGGCTGCAAACGTGTGGTGAGAGGAGTGGGGTTGTTCTCTCGACCTTGGGCAGCCTGCATCTTCAATCATCCCTTAGGGGAAGGTGGGGGGGCACTGAACATATTCCCCTTCCTCCCCCCCAGTCATACAGGGAGATTGTTGACCTGAGTAACACCAGGTAAATCTTCCAGTGTTATAATGAAATATTACTCAACCAGTATTTAAAAAATATTCCATACCAAAGTTAGAAACGTGCACAAATATATTTAAGACATTAATTTTTACAACTTATGAAACAATCAGTTTTAGCATACAAATGCATTTTTATCACTTTTCTACAATGTTACAGATTTACACATTTATGTAGCATGACTCCTTAATAAATCAAAGGCTTTAAAACACCTAAAAATCCAAATGCGAGGGAAACCAAATGATGGATATCTTAATAATCCTTGAGAATTAAAATATTCTAATTCTACACATTAAAAATTGTGTGTTCCCCTAGCTCATGGATGTGGCCAAATGGGAAGCAGAAAAACATTCCCTATATGCCCCTCACACACCAGAGCTCTGGGATGGGGCCAAAAAATGAGGGGTTCAGTGTGTGGGAGGGGTCTGCCGGAAAGCAGGCTTGATATGTGGGGTCTGGCTGGAGTGCGTTGATGGTAGGATACAAGAGCATGGTGGTGGTGGGAGGGCTGGATGGGCAAAGGGATGCAGGAATAGGGTGTGGTTGGGATTCTTGGGCAGGTGGTAGGAGCAGGAACGGATGAGGGGGAGTGGGTCTGGGAGGGTGGTAGGATACAGGAACAGGTTGGGGGAAGTGCTTACCTGGCACAACTCTTCAGGGATGCACATGGCTCTGTCCCCACTGCTGCTCCCAGGAACAGCCCTATTACTCCTATTGGCCATAATCACAGCTAATTGGAGCAGCTGGGGGAAAGTCTTCAGGTAGCATTTTGCTGCCCTGCTGTATGCCCAGCCAGGTAGGAGGAGGGGAAGAAAGAGTGGCAGTGAGAGCTTGTTGATACTGTGGGGGAAGCAGAGCCTTCGGAGCCAGATCCAGGCAAACTGGGGGATCAGATATGGCCCCTGAGCCATAGGTTCCCCACCCCATGTATTAGCCAATCTTCACTGTTTCATCTAGGTATTTCTTCTTGCTTTTGAGTTGCCTCACTGAAGTCTATTGTTCAATAGTCTAATTTGACTGTGTGTGTAAAAATGAAACCGGACAATCTCTATAGACACCTGGTATTATACACATGGAGGAGCAGGATGCTTGTGAATGCAGCCAGGACAGCAGTGCAGAGAATCATGAACAAATAAGTCGCAATCCACACAAAATACATTCTGGCAGACTTTACAAATGTAAACCTGAGTGAAAAGATTAAAAAAATACAAATATCACTGTAGAATTACAGTAATGCAACATAATGTAGATAAAACTATTTTGCATATGTACATAAGAGTCCTGCCCAATTAAACTTTCCAATATGAAAAGACAGTGTCTTTCAGACTAAATCTAGCTTTTAGAGTCAATCAAAATAAACTATAAATTGTTTCTTAGTAAATTTAGAGATGTCCAAATCCTCACCTTTAGAAGCCCCATCAATGTGATAACTTAGGAATCTTAAAAATTAAGTGTCCTTAAGTAGATTATTCTGTAGCTAACATTTTAAAAATGTACTAGTGTAAATTACATTAAAGAGCTCTACAAGCATCTTGTCTGACAATACTCATTTTTCTCTAATTTCTCTATTCTGGTAAACCCCCACCATACCTATGTCCCAAAGTGGAAACAGGATTCATTCTTGACCGTCATCAACTTTTTGAGTGAAGGCAGCAGCACACCTGACAGTTTAACTCCATTACCTTAGTTGTGCTGCTTTTGCAGTCTAAAGTGAGATCCCAGGACTGAGAATTTAATCTAGCCAACATAATGGCTTCAGTACAGTATGGTTGTGTATTTTTGTCATCAAGATGACTGACCTTCCCAAAAATGAACAACAGTAAGAGGAAGTATGCAAATTAAAGTACGTTTTAATAATCACTTACATGTTGATCTTTAATCTCCCCTTGGCAGCCTTGACAATAGCTAAGAAACAGAATTCAGTATTTTTATTGAAAGCAGAGTAAAGTTTTTAAGAAACACCATTTTACAGCCACTTCTTATACAATTATTATTTCCTATAATTTAGATATCAAATCACAGTCATTTAACTGAACATGCGCTAGTTCAACCAGTACTGAAGAAGCCACTGCCAATTTAGATTACTTTTCAAAGGTGAAATCTGTAAGGGCTCTAAGTGGATTCTTTATAGCAGGCATGATTTACATACCGTTCTCCTTTATATTCTTCCAATGGAACTTCTTGAAAAGCATCCAAAGGAAACAGGTGATGGTAAGAGCGAGCCAGGTGGGGTGCAGAGACCAATGTAAGGCCTGCAACATCAAAAAGAAGTATGTCACGATAAACCAAAAATTTTGATGTAATGAATACAAGAGGAAAGTAATACAAGAAAGCATGTGTTTACTAACCCTTTCACCACCAACAACAAAAGGTATTTTATGCATGTATCAGTGTTCCTAATCTGAACTTCTGCCTTAGAAACTGTATGTGGACTAATTCTTAAGATTTTTTCAGTCGATAATTCCATTCTGTTCCATCTAGGTTAATGATTACAGGGGCTTACAAAAGTATACTTACGATTTTCTTTGGGGGTTGGTTAATTTTAATTTTATAAAAAAAAAAAGACTATGCCCAAACCCTTCAATAAAGGCAAGATACACATACATATAAAATAAATAAATGCTGGAATACAAAAGAAATGGAGCCTCATCATATTTTGGTTCAGCCAAAACTCCCATTGACTTAAATAAAAGTTTCAAGAGCACAAGAAATTTAGCGTCCAGTTTATAATATACAACAATCTGTGTTAAAGTATTCCTTTCTGCACACTCTAGCATCTTAAACATAATTCTATAGCCTCTGGCTACATCTAGACTGGCATGATTTTCCAGAAATGCTTTTAACAGAAAAGTTTTCCGTTTAAAGCATTTTCGGAACAGAGCGTCTAGATTGACACGGACGCTATTCCGCAAAAGCACTTTTTGCGAAAAAGCGTCCGTGCCAATCTAGACACGCTTTTCCGCAAAAAAGCCCCGATCGCCATTTTCGCGATCAGGGCTTTTTTGCGGAAAACAAATCTGAGCTGTCTACACTGGCCCTTTTGCGCAAAAGTTTTGTGCAAAAGGACTTTTGCCCAAACAGGAGCAGCATAGTATTTCCGCAAGAACACTGACAATCTTACATGAGATCATCAGTGCTTTTGCAGAAATTCAAGCAGCCAGTGTAGACAGCTGGCAAGTTTTTTCAGAAAAGTGGCTGATTTTCTGGAAAAACTGGCCAGTCTAGACACAGCCTCTCAGTATAAAATAAGGACACGTTCTGCAACAGGCACAACTGAGTTTTTCCACTACCCAAATAGTTAAGTGTTGGTTTGTTGTTGTCGCTGCTTACCATTATATGTAAAGAATCATAGAAAGGTAGGGCTAGAAGAATTTTAAGAGGTCATCTGATCCTACCCCCTACACAGAAGCATGATCAAATACAGGATACCCTCGCGATGTGCAGGGGTCTCCTGTCTGGGCCTGGAGGAGAGGAACAGAGGGGGCTGGCAGCCACAGTGAGTTCCCCATGGATCTCACCCAAAGATGAGTTTTGACATTGCAAGGCACTCACTGCAGGTGCTAGTAGCCATGGCTCCCAGTTTTTGCAAATTTCGCCATTCATGGTGGTGTCAGGAACGCATCCACCATGAATGGCAAGGATTTCATGTATATCTAAAATTATACGTAACATTTGTTTTACCTAACTAGTTCTTTAAAACTTTCTACAAAGATTCCACAAACTTCCTGAGATGCTTACTCCAGTACTTGTCTAGCTATAAGGATAGTTCTTTCAATATCTAATTTAAATTTTCCTTGCTGCAATTAAGCCTGTTATGTCTTGTCATACAGTGGGGATAGAGAACAACTGATCACCATCCTGTTTATAACAGCCCTTAATGGTTCTGAAGATTATCAGATTCCCACCTCTTACTCTTCTTTTCTCAGAATTAGATATGAGAAACATTTTGAAAAAACTGAGCAGATGTAGTGGTTCACATTTTCAGTTTTTACCTGTTTCACTGATAAATTACAAGAACTTTTTTGACATTTTGTTTTTGCAATAATGCTTTTCCAAGAGATGCCATGATAGTTAAAGTCTCCCATTCCTACCCGTTCTTATGGTTTTGTGTAGGTCTATAATTTGTTGTAGAAATGCTTCATCCACATCCTCCTTGCCATTTGCTGATCAATAATAAATCCTCTCCCATGACATCATCTGTTTCCCCTCCCTTTTCACTCATTCTATATATAGTGGGGGGTAACTTACCACAGATTTTGCATTCCACAGGGAGTTCACAGTATTTGGCTCTACACTGGGGACAGAAATATCCACCCAGTGTAAGACCTGGATCACTGTTATTTTCCAAGTGCCTGGAGATGGGGGCAGGAAAAGAAGAAATCAATATGGTTAAAATCTCTTGGACAAATCTGAAACAGTTGCACAGAACTGGAAAATGAGCATGGAGTTTGTCACAGAGTTTCATGTGATGTGATGCTGCAAATTAACTAGGAAATTTACTATTAAATACACATTTTCTTAAATGACATGACTACTCAATGAAGTGTTACAACAAAACACCGACACTTTATCAGGGTCTTTAATTAAATCCTGAGATTAATCTTCCAGTAGGTAGCAAAATATTCAGAAATGTATTGTTACTTAGTAATTAAATGGAGTTTCTAACCCTGCATCTCAATAACACCCAAGAATAGGGAAATGTCATGAGAAGTTTGATAAGCTTTTTGGAATGTAACCCAGGATCTAATGGTGTACATGAATCTTTTTACAAGAGAAGTTTAGGCTTGCTTTGATTTTCCCTCACATAACAAATTTCCTTTACATTCGAAAGTGATTTTATAAATAACGAGCCTTGTGGATAAGGGAGAAGCGGTGGATGTCATATACCTAGACTTTAGTAAGGCATTTGATACGATCTCGCATGATATTCTTATTGATAAACTCGGCAAATATAACTTAGATAGGGCCACGATAAGGTGGGTGCATAATTGGCTGGATAACCGTAATCAGAGAGTTGTTATTAACGGTGCTAAATCCTGCTAGAAAGGGATAACAAGTGGAGCTCCGCAAGGGTCTGTTTTGGGACCCGTACTGTTCAATATCTTCATCAATGACGTAGATATTGGGATAGAGAGTACGCTTATTAAGTTTGCAGATGATACCAAACTGGGTGGGGTTGCAACTTCTTTGGAGGATAGGGACATAATTCAAAATGACCTTAGCAAGTTAGAGAAATGGTCAGAGGTAAACAGGATGAAGTTTAATAAAGAGAAATGCAAAGTGCTCCACTTAAGAAGGAACAATCAGTTCCATACATACAAGACGGGAAGCGACTGTCTAGGAAGGAGCATGGCAGAAAGGGATCTAGGGGTCATAGTGGACCACAAGTTGAATATGAGTCAACAGTGTGATGCTGTTGCAAAAAAAGCAAATATGATTCTAGGTTGTATCAACAGGTGTGTGGTAAGCAAAACTCATGAAGTCATTCTGCCGCTCTACTCTGCACTAGTTAGGCCTCAGCTGGAGTACTGTGTCCAGTTCTGGGCGCCACATTTCAAGAAAGATGTGGAGAAATTGGAAAGGGTACAGAGAAGAGCAACAAGAATGATTAAAGGTCTAGAGAACATGACCTATGAAGCCAGGCTTCATGAACTGGGCTTGTTTAGTTTGGAAAAAAGAAGATTAAGGGGGGACATGATAGCGGTTTTCAAATATCTAAAAGGGTGTCACAAGGAGGAAGGAGAAAATTTGTTCCTCTTGGTTTCTGAGGACAGGACAAGGAGTAATGGGCTTAAAGTGCAGCAGGGGAGGTTTAGATTGGACATTAGGAAAAAATTCCTAACTGTCAGGGTGGTCAAATATTGGAATAAATTGCCAAGGGAGGTGGTGGAATCTCCCTCTCTGGAGATATTTAAGAACAGGTTAGATAGACATCTGTCAGGGATGGTGTAGACAGAGCTTGGTCCTGCCTGGAGGATCCACAATCTTACAGTCATAATGTTTCCTCACACAGAGGAACACTTTTATGGCATTAAGATGCATACCTTTAGGTTTTATTCTCTCAGAGTCTACTGTTCCCTTCTAAAATTCTACTGTCCTTGAATGCAGTCTGTTCTCACAAAGAAGGGCACTCTCTTGCTAGTTACACTTTCAATTTCACTACACATTAACAATTCAATGAATGGATGACTTATTTCCAAGTATTCTTTATCATCACCATCTTTAAGGATGCTGATTAATTTTATCTGCTATAGTACAGTAAAATATGTGTGTGCGCGCGCACGCACGTGTGCTACAGTGGCTTTAAGGGCATCCGTTGTGCTAGGCACTGTACAAATACAGGCAGTCCCCAACTTACGTCGGATCCGCACTTACGAACGGGGCTCTCTCGCCCCGGAGCTCGCAGGCAGCGGTCCCGCCACCTCGACCTCCGGGGCGAGAAAAGCTGCTCCAGGTGCCCCTCTCTATCCCAATATCTATATCATTGATGAAGATATTGAACAGTACAGGTCCCAAAACACAAAATAAACTACGCAATTGACATAGCTCAGTTTGTGTAACTTATTTCGAGTTAAGCCCTGGTGTGTAGTCACACCCTTAATGAGCCTATGGTGCTTACTGAAATCCTGACTCAAATCATGATCAACTGCCATTGTAAAACTTATGTTAATAATAATAATGACTTACATTTATTTATGCAGTGTTGTTGTAGCTGTGTTGGTCCCAGGATATTAGGGAGACAAGATGGATGTGGTAGTATCTTTTATTGGACCAGCTTCTTTTGGTGAGAGAGAAAAGCTTTTGAGCTTATACAGAACTCTTCTTCAGTCACTGTGTATAACTGTTCATAATAATTTCATTTTTATCTAGTACTGCCAACATCTGTTTGTATCCAGCTGTTGTCTCTTATCTTATACTTAGATTTTTAGATCTTATGGGCAGTGATCATCTTTGGTTGTACAGGCAGTCCCCGGGTTACGTACAAGATAGGGACTGTAGGTTTGTTCTTAAGTTGAATCTGTATGTAAGTCGGAACTGGTGTCCAGACTGATCAGTTTCAGCAGCGGCTGAATCTGGACGCCAGTTCCGACTTACATACAGATTCAACTTAAGAACAAACCTACAGTCCCTATCTTGTACGTAACCCGGGGACTGCCTGTACAACCAAAGATGATCACTGCCCATAAGATCTAAAAATCTAAGTATAAGATAAGAGACAACAGCTGGATACAAACAGATGTTGGCAGTACTAGATAAAAATGAAATTATTATGAACAGTTATACACAGTGACTGAAGAAGAGTTCTGTATAAGCTCAAAAGCTTTTCTCTCTCACCAAAAGAAGCTGGTCCAATAAAAGATACTACTTTACCCTCTTCCCCCCCCCCGGTCTCTCATTAAGAACAGTGTCAGCAGTAGTCACAGCACATCATCTGCCTATCCATATTCATGATGTTTTGTACCTTTCAGTGCAAAAACAGATTAAGATTATCGATGCCTCAAAAGTAACCACATTTTACTTACGCCATGCTAAATGATGGTTTAGCATCCTGATCAGAGAGAGAGGCAATCGTATGCTGAGGAAAACCTTAGGAGCCAAGAAAAATATTCCATCACTATATGTATTGGCAACATACAACCAATAATTTCCCATTTGAGTAGAGAAGTTAAAAGGCTAGGAGTTAATGTTTAGAATATTTCATGTTATTACAGAAGTCAACACACCATTTCCAAATCCATCGTTTGTGTTCTCTTCCCACTTATATCTCCAAATCCAGCACTATATCTTACTTTTTTTCCCCCTCCACTTAATACAACGAAACTGACAGACCCCAATTTTTCACAAACAATTACAGAGGAAAATTAGGTTAGATAATAGGGAAGGAGAAAAGAGCAGTATATTAAAAGGAATGATGGTTCAAGTCACAAATTAAGGAAAATAATTTAATGCTCAGACTTCAGAGACATGTTCGCTCTAAGTCCCTGATTGGCCTGGGGGTGGGGAACGTGAGAAGCCTCTTCCCACCCTGCCAGGTGCACGAGTGCCTAGTGGGAAGGGGTGGGCAAAAGGGCCTCCGCGGACCAGATCCAGCCCACCAACTGGGTTGATCCGGCCTGTGGGGGCCCTACCGCTCCCCCGCCCCCAGGCTAATTAGGGTCTGGGGGCAGGGAAGCACACAAAACTTCCTCCCGCCCTGCGAGGAGCATACAGCACTTCAAAGTGCTACGCACTCCTCGCAGGGCCAGAGGAGACGTCACACGCTCCCCTGCCCTCAAGCCCTGATTGGCCTGGGGGCAGGGGAGCTGCGCAAAGTTTCCTCCGCCTTGTCCCTGCCCTGCAAGGGGCATGTGGCACTTCAAAGTACCACATGCTCCTCGCAAGGCGGGAGGTGGCTTCCCACGCTCCCCCTCCCCAATTGGCCTGCGGGTGGGTAAGTGAGAGAAGCCTCTTCTCACGCTGCCAAGGGCATGAGTGCCTAGTGGGAAAGGGGGGGAGGCAAAGAGGCTCCCCCACCCCCAGGACCAATCATGGTCTGGGGGTGGGGTAGCCCAGAAGCATCCTGTCTCTGCCCCTTCCGGTTTAGGCCCCACCTCTTCCGGGCAGCATGGGACCACTGAAAACATTTTGAAGTGGCTCCTGGCCCAAAATTATTGCCCATCCCTGCTCTAAGTGCTGTGTGATAGTTAATACAATGTTTTCTGGATGTCCTAGGTAGCTCCTAGTCCTCCTCTGGTAATTGTTTTTATAGCTCATCTCAATTGATGTAGTAGTTTTTCTTATTACTGCTCCCCTGATTACACAGGGAAAAAACGCCAAAATCATTTAATTATAAGGATGATTACACACAAATATCTATTTTTAATGTATTCACTGATGAATAAAAAGTTGTTTTAAAATGGGGAACAAGTTAGCACAACAGCTGAACACTGTGGTGCTACATAGGTTTAGTTGCAGGCTCATGCTCTTTCAGATTTCTTTTTCCATCAGGAGGAAGCAAAGGAGCTCATTCCACTTGTTACAAAGGAATAAGCTGACAAGATTTCTCCTGGTGTATGTATGTCTAATCGGTTAATCACATAGCAATACAGACATGAATTTAAAAGGCTAATGGATTTTGGCCTAGATATGGAAGGCGATCATAAATAGAAATACAAATGGAGACGCACACTTTTTAAATTTATCTACTTTATATTTTACATATCACACTTTCCCCACTACCACACAAAAGGAAAAGCATAAATTTGTTGTAACCCACTGAAAATTGAGTTTTGGTCTTTCTTAATTCTCAATTTTTAATTTCAATAACTGAATGATTTTTAGGTATATTTTAAAATAAGTTAAAATCCAGTTTGCTAAAACTGAAACATTAAAATAAAAACAATTATGCATCAATCTGTTTTTTCAGATTTCAAGTAGCTTCTTTGTTCATATAATTTTAATACAGAATACACAGAAGAGGATGTTTACACTAAAGATTCTTAAATCTTGCACTTAAACTGTAATAAAAAACAAGATCCTACCCATTCGAATAAGGGAGCATTCAGAACTTGAACTGGCAGGTGGAGGGCTAACATGATGCATCAGCAGTTCCTTATAGTGGCTTTCATCTAAAATTACATGGTATGTTCCTACAAAGGAGAAAGAAAATGCATGACTCTCTGCTAACTAATTTATTTAAGAATAAGTAAATATCACAGTCATACCACCTGTTCAAATAATGTATGGACACTTTCACTGAGAACAGAATTACTAAGAAAAAACTGGATAATAAAATTTAGGCAAAACTTTAAAACAGTTTAAACAAAAATGTAGAATGACAATAGTGGAAAAGTCTATGGGATGTTCCCTACAGATACTACATAATTTTTTAGAATTAATATACTGGAATGATTGTGTACCTCTAAAAAGTTAAATACAGGCAGTCCCCGACTTACGCGGATCTGACTTATGTCGGATCCGCACTTAAGAACGGGGCTGTCTCGCCCCGGAGGTCGAGGTAGTGGATTGCTACCTGCGAGCTCCGGGGCGAGAAAGCCCCGTTCGTAAGCTGCTCCGGTGCCCCTGGTCTGCTGGAGACGGTCTCCAGCAGACCAGGGGCACCGGGCGGGTTCCCGCGCTTCTGAGGCTTTGCCAGAGCAAAGCCTCAGAAGCGC